TTCTTTATTTAATTGCTGATTATTTATTGTTCTACAGTAACTGAAAGCATTTGTGTTGAATTTAACATTTCTGGTTCCCTTTGTAAACTGAATGAATATAAAACAATGTTAATGAAATAGAAATGTCGTGGCCTGTCTTTTCAATATGGAATCCAGATCATTACAACAATTAAATATAGTTGGATTTTTTATGAACAATTTGTCCAAGGTATTATACAAAAGTTTATTTTGTTTTATTCAAGTTATTGAATCAAAGCTATTCACACAAATGCACAGACCATCAAAGATGTCATTGCTGTACTAGGATATAGGAAAGAACCTTGTCTCTTAAAATGACAATGATACTCTTCTATCTTAGAACTGCAACTACTGTTGTTGCTTGGCAACTGAGAGTGTACCTCTTAGCAACTACAATACCAAGCTAAGTGAATGATTTATTACTAAACCCCATTCATAAACAATATGGCACATGGGCATATTTGGGAAAACAATTATTTTAATTACAGATTTGTTTTCTCTGAACTGTGCATATTCACGTGCTGTATCTATATCTATCAGATCTGGAACTCTATACGTGAGATCAAATGGTCACTATATGATGTCAACACCCAGGGGATCAATATAGACTTCTCAAAGGTTTAGAAATGACAACTATTACGGCTTTTAAAGCTTTCCAGCAACAGATTCAGTCATTGTGCTTGAATGACTTTCCTTGTGGTATTGGGAGTTGGGTAAGGAATAGCCAATCCATTCCATTCGAAATATTTTTAAACCGAGCTGAAAAATTGTCATATTACAGTTCGAGTACAATTAGATTATTCTCGGCACAGTTTAGCTAGCTAGATGCTTTCGCTTTATCCTAATGACAGAAAATAAAGCATGTATGTTTTAAATTTGCGATAATGACAGGTGTAAGATAACAAAGGATCAAAGTGTGAAAAGCAGAAATGTAGAAATGTAACCTTCAAAGGCATGCTTCAGTGTATGAATGGCCCACACTTAAGTTTATGTTTTAATGAAATCTGATCTTCCTCTACAATCATGACCCTGAACCATTTCCCTCTGTCTTTTTCATGTTCGGGAGTCCCTAGTATGTAAAATGTACACTGATGTTGGGTTTCTTTTCATTCATTAAGGGGTTTGGGTGTAGTTGGCTGGACCAGCATTTATTGTTCATCTCTATTTGCCCTTGAGAAGGTGGTGGTGAGCTGCTTTCTTGAACAGCTGCAATCCATTTAGTGTAGGTTAACCCACAATGTTGTTAGGGAGGGAATTCCAGGATTTTGACATGAAGGAACAGCAACATATTTCCATGTCAGCAATTCCCTCCTGACTGTATACCACTGTGTTGCCATCTCTGCTGCGTCTGTCAGGTTACGGGGACAGGACACATCCAGGGATGGTAATGGTGGTAATAGTTAACTGGTAACACAGTGTGGAGCTGCAGGAACACAGCAGGGCAGGCAGCATCAGAGGAGCAGGAAAGTTTACGTTTCAGGTTGGGACCCTTCTTCAGAAATTGGGGAGGGGGGAGGCAGCTCCAAAATAAATAGTGAGAGGAGGGGTGGGGCTGGGGAAGGTAGGTGGGATGGTGATAGGTGAATGCAGGTAGGGAGTGGTGGGGATTGGTCAGTGAGGTGGGAGGAGCGGATAGGTGGGAAAGAAGACGGACAGGTTGTGTCAGGTCAAGGAGGCAGGGATGAGAGAGAAAGTTGGTCATGGGATGAGGCCAGGGATGGGGAGATTTTGAAACTAATAAAGTCCACATTGAGTCATTGGGTTGTAGGCTCCCGAGGCAGAATATGAGGTGCTGCTCCTCCAGTTTGCAGGTGGCATCATTATGACACTGGAGGAGGCCCAGGATGGACATGTCACCCAGAGATTGGGAGGGGGAGTTGAAATGGTTCAGGACCGGAAGGTGTTGTTGTTTGTCACGAACAGAGCACAGGTGCTCTACAAAGCGGTCTCCGAGTCTCCGCTTGGTCTCACCGATGTGGAGGAGGCCACATCGGGAGCAGCGGATGCAATAGACCACATTAGCTGAGTTCAGGTGAACATCAGTCTGATGTGGAAGGTTTTTTTGGGTCCTTGGTAGGAGGTGAGGGGGGAGGTGTAGGGACAGGTGTTGCACCTCCTGCAGTTGCAGAGAAAGGTGCCAGGGGTGGTGGGGCTAGTGGGGAGTGTGGAGGACGAGGGAGTCATGGAGAGAGCGGTCCCTACAAAAGGCAGATAGGGGTGGAGAGGGAAATACATCTTTGGTTGTGGGGTCGGATTGTAGGTGGCAGAAGTGGCGGAGAATGATATGTTGAATCTGGAGGTTAGTGGGGTGATATGTGAGGATAAGGGGGATTCTATCTTTGTTTTTGTTGCGGGGACGGGATGTGAGGGCAGAGGTGCGGGAAATGCAAGAGATGCGGTCGAGAGCATTTTCAGCCACTGAGGGGGCAAGTTGCAGCCCTTGAAAGAAGAGGACATCTGGGAGGTTTTGGAGTGGAACGCCCCATCTTGGGAGCAGGCACAGCAGACGCAGAGGAATTGGGAATAGGGGATCGCATTCTTGCAGGGAGGTGGGTGAGAGGCGTTGTAGTCTAGGTAGCTGTGGGAGTCGGTGGGCTTGAAACAGATGTCGGTTTCGAGGTGGTCACCAGAGATGGAGACAGAGAGGTCCAGGAAGGACAGAGAGGTATCAGAGATGGTCCAGGTGAACTTGAGGTTGGGGTAAAAAGTGTTAGTAAAGTTAGTAAAGTTGATGAACTGTTCAAGCTCCTCCTCGGTGGGGGTAGTGCCAGTGTAGCTGTGGAAGAGGGACTGTTCCACTAACACAATGTGGAGCTGGTGGAACACAGCAGGCCAGGCAGCATCAGAAGAGCAGGAAAGTTGACGTTTTGGGTCCTGGACATTGTCTGTAAGGTATGATTCCATGAGTGCGACTATATCAGGCTGTTGCTAACTAGTCTGTGAGACAGCTCTCCCAATTTTGGCATTAGCTCCATATGTTTGTAAGGAGGACTTTGCAGGATCAACACAGCTCAGGTTTTTATTCTTGTTCTCAGTGCCTTAGTCAATTCTAAGTCATCTGTATGGTTTAATTTACTGTTTTGAAACTTTTTAGCACTTCACTATTTGCACCTAGCAAATGGCTTGCTAGGCCATTTCAGAGTCAATCATATTGCTGAGTCTGATGTCTCATATATGCTTATCAGGTTAAAAAAAAGTAGTTTTCCTTCCCTAAAAGACATTAGTAAACCAGATGGGATCACTTTCAATTCCAGATTTTTAGTGTGTTCAGATTCCATCACTTGCTGCAGTGAGATTTGAACCTGGGCCACAGAACATGGCCTGGATCTTTGGATTATGAATCCAGTGATAATACCACTACCTTCCCCATGTATTGCAACCTAAATATGCTTTTAATGCAGTGATTCATCATGGGGATTTGTCCTTTAAATGTAGTTTGGCCCTTACTATGACCAGCCTATTGTATGTTTTCACATGCATTACAATGCTTTCCCAATGAAAGTATTACAAAAATATCATAGTGGCCAGTGCTGGCATCTTTTCAACAGTGACTTAAATGGCTCTAGCTGATAAGAAAAAAACTCAGCTTTGCTGGCTTGAAAAATTTAACTAACTTCATCCCTACATCGATTGACAGATATTCTGTTTTCCCCAGGGAGTAGTATATTATTGAGATAGATGTGGTGCTTTTCAGTGCTTCACTGCGTTTCAAGGGTCTCAACATGGTAGGCACTTCATTCATCTGGGTATGAGTGACAATTTCAAAACATTAGAAGAACAGGTAGTGTCTTTTATAATAGGCCAGGCAGTATCAGAGGAGCAGGAAAGCTGACGTTTTGGGTCTTCAGAAATACTGAAGAAGGGTCCCAACCTGAAACAACAGGTGTAGAACTGGATGAACACACAGGCCAAGCAGCATCAGAGGAGCAGGAAAGCTGACATTTCGGGTCGAGACCCAGAAGGGTCTCAACACAAAACGTCAGCTTTCCTGTTCCTCTGATGCTGCCTGACCTGCTGTGTTCTTCCAACTCCACACTGTCTTATCTCAGACTCCAACATCGGTAGTTCTTACTATCTCTGAGGTAGTGTCAGATACTGAGGTACTATTGATACAAAAAGCTAACACAATTAGATGAAACATAAATACATTTTTCCCATGGCTTACTTTCTCAGACTCTCAATGATATGCAGATTTCTAAGAGATGGTAAGAGGTTCGTTTTCTTTTACAGGGAGTGCAAAGCATTTTCATTTGTTATTGCAATGATTCTGAAGACTGTACATCTGCATATTGTATGAGTTACTACAGAAGATACCTGGAGGGAATAGAGGTGGCATGAGTGATCTGAGAGGACATGGAGGATACATGAGCATTATAGAGGCAGCAAGACAGAGTCTTAGGGTTTGGAAGATTGATGGAATCATAGAAGTAGCATGAGGAATCTGAGGGGGCACAGAGAATGTATGGAGGTCAATTTGAAGGAACAGAGGGGTTTGGGAATGGGCAAGGATGTTGAGGGATGAGGTTTAGGTGGCCTTTAAACACTATTTGGAGCTCTGAGGTAGGCTTTATAACCAGCCTGCCTCCAAACCCAGACTCCTCTCACACTCCGCTGTGGCTCACAAACAAACCTGGTGTGAAAGGCAAAAATGGTACATGGTCATACGTGGGTCGGGTATATAGTTTATGAGCTGTGAAAGTGCGTGGATCAGATCTTCCCCAGTTCAGAGGAAGATTCTGTTCCAAACCTATGTTAGAGGATCCCTGTTGTAGCAGAGAAGGGAACATTTCAAGAGCTCATAATCATACTGCTGACCAAGATTATATTTATTCATTAATTCTCCGAAAAATCGATCAAATTTTTAATACATGTGCAAAGTCAGCTCCAAGCCCTTACACACATGTAACATCCTAAATATTTAATATAACAATGTCAACATAGGGAACACCATGTTACAAATCTTTACTGGACTTCATTTATAGAACAGTTCAAGGCATTCAACAACGAAGACTAAAAGTTTCAAATTACAGAAGGATCATGGCGAGAAGGAAAAGATAAATGGTAAAAATGTAAATGAGGAAGAGCCTCAGGCCTTGAAAGAATACCTGACGTGTGAGCAATCACCGTGGAAAACAGAAAATGTGACCCCAGAGTCCCAGCATCTAAAGGAACTGGCAATCACTTCACCTTCTCTCATAAATGAACACTTCCTTTGTTCCGATTTAAAATCCTTAAGACTTGTTAATAAGCAGGTGAGCAAGTTATTTTATTCTGTTTATGTGGGCAAGGGGAGTATTTGCTTAAGGTTTTGGAGTAGATCTGTAGCTCGGGTTGTGGGTGTTGAGGTTGGTTGGCTCGCCAAGCTGGTTTGTTGTTCCACAGGTGTTTCATTACCGTGCTTGGTAACATCCTCAGTGCAGCCTCCGATGAAGCGTCGGTGTGTTTTCCCGCCTGGTTTTTAAACTCTGGAGTCCGTTGCGATGGATTGCCTCAATTCCGGGTTTCCTCCGTAGTGGAATGTATATGGGGTCGAGTTCAATGTGTTTATTAATAGCATGCTTTGTGGAGTGCCATGCTTCCAGGAATTCTCGTGCTTGTCTCTGCCTAACATAAGAACATAAGAACATAAGAACTAGGAGCAGGAGTAGGCCGTCTGGCCCTTTGAACCTGCTCCGCCATTCAATAAGATCATGGCTGATCCTTTCGTGGACTCAGATCCACTTACCCGCGTTCTCACTGTATCCCTTAATTCCTTTATTGTTCAAAAAAAATCTACCTTTTTTTTAAAAACATTTACTGAAGTAGCGTCAACTACTTCACTGGGCAAGGAATTCCATAGAGTAACAACCCTCTGGGTGAAGAAATTCCTTCTCAGTTCAGTCCTAAATCTGCTCCCTCTAATCTTGAGGCTATGCCCTCTTGTCCTAGCTTCACCTGCCAGTGGAAACGTCCTCTCTACTTCTATCTTATCTATTCCCTTCATAATTTTATATGTTTCTATAAGATCCCCCCTCAATCTTCTGAATTCCAATGAATATAATCCCAGTCTACTCAGTCTTTCCTCATAAGCCAACCCCCTCAACTCCGGAATCAACCTAGTGAACCTCCTTTGCACCCCCTCCAGTGCCAGTACATCCTTTCTCAAGTAATGTCCCAGGACCTTGGTGTTGTCCCAGTCGTAGTCGTGGTTCTCCTTGTCCATGTGGATTGAGATGAGTGAGTATTGGTTGTGTCTTTTTGTAGCCAGTTGGTGTTCATGTACTCTTGTCGTTAGTTTCCTTCCTGTTTGTCCGATGTAGTGTTTCTCGCAGTCTCTGCAGGGGATCTTGTAGATGACGTTGGTCCTGTCCATGGCGGGAGTTGAGGAGGTTGGCTTATGAGGAGAGACTGAGTAGATTGGGATCATATTCATTGGAATTCAGAAGATTGAGGGGGGATCTTATAGAAACATATAAAATTATGAAGGGAATAGACAAGATAGAAGTAGAGAGGATGTTTCCACTGGCAGGTGAAGCTAGGACAAGAGGGCATAGCCTCAAGATTAGAGGGAGCAGATTTAGGACTGAACTGAGAAGGAATTTCTTCACCCAGAGGGTTGTTAATCCATGGAATTCCTTGCCCAGTGAAGTAGTTGACGCTACTTCAGTAAATGTTTTTCAAAAAAAGGTAGATTTTTTTTGAACAATAAAGGAATTAAGGGATACAGTGAGAACGCGGGTAAGTGGATCTGAGTCCACGAAAGTATCAGCCATGATCTTATTGAATGGCGGAGCAGGTTCAAAGGGCCAGACGGCCTACTCCTGCTCCTAGTTGTTATGTTCTTATGTTAGGCAGAGACAAGCACGAGAATTCCTGGAAGCATGACACTCCACGAAGCATGCTATTAATAAACACATTGAACTCGACCCCCCTCATTCCACTACGGAGGAAACCCGGAATTGAGGCAATCCATCGCAACGGACCCCAGAGTTTAAAAACCAGGCGGGAAAACACACTGACGCTTCATCAGAGACTGCACTGAGGACGTTACCAAGCACGGTAACGAAACATCTGCGGAACAACAAACCAGCTCGGCGAGCCAACCAACCTCAAGTATTTGCTTATTTTACTTTAATGAATAGATGAAGATGGAATTAATTAATCTTCCATTGTCGTCACAGCTCCAGAGAAACTGCACTGATGCTGGCAGATCTGCTGAGTTTCTCCTGCACTTTCTGTTTTTATTTCAGATCTCCAGCAGCCACAGTAATTTGCTTTTATTTGAGTGGTTAATAGCGAGCTTGGTTGCAAACACAGAAGTTGCCAGACTTCTAACTTTAAGAATGCAAATAATTATCGAACATAATGCAACCTCCCCAATTCACCACTAATTATAAAGCATCAACATTCTATTGTACATTATAGAGCATAGAGATGTACAGCGTGGAAACAGACCCTTTGGTCCAACTCGTCCATGCCGACCAGATATCTTAAATTAATCTAATTCCATTTGCCAGCATTTGGCCCACATCCCTCTAAACTCTTCCTATTCATATACACATCCAGATACCTTTTAATTGTTGTTATTGTACCAGCCTCCAACACCTCATCTAGCAGCTCATTCCATACACACACCAGTCTCTGTGAGAAAGTTGCCCCTTAGGTCTCTTTTATATCTTTCCCTTCTCACATTAAACCTATGCCCTCTAGTTTTGGACTGTCCTGCCTGGGAAAAAGACTTTGGATATTCACCCTATCCTGCCCCTCATGACTTTATAAACCTCTATATGGTCACCCCTGAGCCTCCGACACCCCAGGGAAAACAGCCCCGGCCTATTCAGCCTCTCCCTTTAGCTCAAACCCTACAAACCTGGCAACATCCTTGTAAATAGTTTCTGTATTGAAATCTTGTTTCTCATGTCGTTGGTGATCCATTTTCCAAACACCTTCAGTCATCAATCTTTTCATCAATCCAACAGCTTTGTTCTATCTACTTTGTCCAGAACCGTTATGGTACTAAATTTCTCAATCAAATTTCCTTTCACCTTTCTCCAAGGAGAATATTCCCATTTTGTCCACTCTACCAACATAACTGACACCCTCAATCCCAAAACCATTTTTATTAATATTTTCTGCACTATAAAGTGTTCACATCCTTCCTAATGCTCAGTACCCAGAACCGGACACAATACTCCAGCTAAGGTCAACCCAATGCTTCATAAAGATTCATCAGAACTTTCTTGCTTTTTGTGCCACTATTTATAAAACCTAGAATCAAATGTGTCTTTTTGAACATATTCCCAAACTGTCCTGCCAGGTGTGTGTACATATACCCTCAAAATCTTTTATTTACCTGTACTTTAAACAGCAAAATGCCCAAGAGACTTTACAAGGACATGAAGCTAATGCAGCACCAAGGCAATTAAAGGCTGTTTCTATTTTTCTTCTGTAGATCTGTGAGGTTGACAAGCAAATGTTGAAATTTCAGAATCTGGAAGAACTTATATTAAGTGTCAATAAAATCACCTCATTAAACTCAGCAAATCTTCCCAGAAAGCTTAAGGTAAGAGTGAAGAGTGGGAACATTCACAATCTCTGTTATAATGCTAACTTTGTGTGAGCGCTGCTTTTACTTTTTGCGAGCAACAGTTTTATGAACATTTATGTTGCTTTATCTGTGGAAAATGAAGTTTAATGAAGTTTAAATGTGGCATGAGCCACATTTGGAATACTGACTTTGTTCTTTTGCTCTGTTTAAGATTCTTGAGCTGTGCTCCAATGAGATTTCCTCTTTGCAACAACTGAGCTCCAATCCGCCACCTATGTTGCAATACCTTGGGCTGTCATACAACAAGCTTTCGCTGCCCTCTGACCACAGATATCTCTCAGACATATTCTGGTAAATATACTAGGTCTGGTTCTGCTTGATTTGTAATATAAAGAGATTGGATGTACTACTGTCTACATATGACAGGAGCAGCTTATATTGGGTTACTATCCATTCAATGACCTCCTGAAGTGCCATGTGGAGAGATCAGGGGTCATACAGAACAGATCTTTGTGGGCAGCTGGTGTGAAGCATTTAGTGATCTGAGACTCTGTTAGTGGTGACATGGGCCAAACTTTTCCATGCGTAAACATTTTAACAGGTCAGGACCATTTCCAGCCCCCTCGCATTAGCAGGGTGCCCCTGCCCCCAACCCCCCACCCCCCCACCAGCCAGCACATTTTTACAGGAATCATCCAGTTAACAGACCACTTCTGGGAAACAAGAGGAAGCACTAGAACATGAGGGCAGTGAGGGAAAAGGGGTCAGAATGATCTGTTTGAATCTAACCAGACAGATCACCTGGCATCGACCTAGGCACCGGAAAAGACAACAGCAGAAACAGCCCTGTCGATCCTGCAAAGTCCGCCTCACTAACATCTGGGGGCTAGTACCAAAATTGGGAGAGCTGTCTCACAGACCAGTTAAACAACAGCCTGACGTAGTCATACTCACAGAAACGTACCTTACAGACAACATCCCAGACAATGCCATCACCATCCCCGGTTACGTCCTGTCCCACTGACAGGACAGACCCAGCAGAGGTGGTGGCACAGTGGTACACAGTTGGGAGAGAGTAGCTCTGGGAGTCCTCAACATTGGGTCCGGACCCAATGAAGTCTCATGGCTTCAGGTTAAACATGGACAAGGAAAACTCCTGCAGATTACCATGTACCGTCTTCCCTCAGCTGATGAATCAGACCTCCTCCATGTTGAACAACACCTGGAGGAAGCACTGAGGATGGGAAGGGCACAAAAGGTACTCTGGGTGGGGGATTTCAATGTCCATGACCAAGAGTGGCTCGGCAGCAGTACTACTGATTGAGCTAGTCGGCTCCTAAAGGACATAGCTGCTAGACTGGGTCTATGGCAGGTGGTGAGGGAACCAACAAGAGGGAACAACATACTTGACCTCATCCTTACCAATCTGCCAGCTGCAGTTACATCTGTCCATAACAGTATTGGTAAGAGTGGCCATCGCACAGTTCTTGTGGAGATGAAGACCCGCCTTCACATGAAAATAACCTCCATCGTGTTATACAGCACTATCACCGTGCTAAGTGGGACAGATTTTGCACAGATCTAGCAACTCCAGACTGGGCATCCATGAGGCGCTGTGGGCCATCAGCAGCAGCAGAATTATACTCCAGCACAATCTGTAACCTCATGGTTCAGCATATCCCCCACTCAACCATTACCATCAAGCCAGGGGATCAACATGGTTCAATGGAGAGTGCAGTAAGGCATGTCAGGAGCAGTACGGCATACTTGAAAATGAGGTATCAACCTGGTGAAGCCACCAAACAGGACTACTTGCATGCCAAACAGTGAAAGCAGCAAGTGATAGACAGAGATAAGTGATCCCACAACCAATGGATCAGATCTAAGCTCTGCAGTCCTGCCACATCCCATCGTGAATGGTGGTGGACAGTTAAACAACTCACTGGAAGAGGAGTCCTCAATGATGGAAGAGCCCAGCACATCATTGCAAAAGATAAGGCTGAAGCATTCGCAGCAATCTTCAGCCAGAAATGCCGAGTGGATGATCCATCTCGGCCTCCTCCACTGGCCCCCAGCATTACAGTTACCAGTTTTCAGCCAATTTGATTCACTCCATGTGATATCAAGAAACCATTGGAGACACTGGATACTGCAAAGGCTACAGGCCCTGACAACATTCTGGCAATAGTACTGAAGACTTGTGCTCCAGAACTTGCAGCTCCCCTAGCCAAGCTGTTCCAGTGCAGTTATGACACAGGTATCTACCTGGCAATGTGGAAAATTGCCTAAGTATGTCCTGTACACAAAAAGCAAGACAAATCCAACCCGGCCAATTACCACCCAATCAGTCTACTCTCGATCATCTGTAAAATGATGGAAGGGGTCATCAACAGTGCTATCAAGCAGCACCTACTCAGCAATAACCTGCTCAGTGATGCCTAGTTTGGGTTCCACCAGGGCCACTCAGCTCCTGACCTCATTACAGCCTTGGTTCAAACATCGACAAAAGAGCTGAATTCTAGAGGTGGGGTGAGAGTGACAGCCCTTGATGTCAAGGCTGCATTCGACCGAGTGTGGCATCAAGGAGTTCTAGCAAAACTGGAATCAATGGGTATATAGGGGCAAACTCTCCAGTGGTTGGAGTCATGCCTGACACACAGAAAGATGGTCGTGGCTGTGGGAGATCAATCATCTCAACTCCAGGACATCTCTGCAGGAATTCCTCAGGGTAGTGTCCTAAGCCCAACCATCTTCAGCTGCTTCATCAATGACTTTCCTTCCATCATAAGGTCAGAAGTGGGGATGTTTGCTGATGATTACACAATGTTCAGCACCATTCACGACTCCTCAGATACCGAAGCAGTCCGTGTTCAAATGCAGCAAGATCTGGATAATATCCAGGCTTGGGCAAGTGACATTCAGGCCACACAAATGCCAGGCTTTGAACATCACCAATAAGAAACAATCTAACCACCATCCCTTGACATTCAATAGTGTTACCGTCACTGAATACCCCACTGTCAACATCCTGGGGGTTATCATTGTCCAGAAACTCAACTGGACTCACACATAAACACAGTGGCTCTAAGAGCAGGTCAGAAGCTAGGAATACTGCAGCGAGTAACTCACCTCCTGACTCTCCAAAGCCTGTCCACCATCTACAAGGCACAAGTCAGGAGTGTGATGGAATACTCCCCACTTGCCTGGATGAGTGCAGCCCCGACAACACTCAAGAAGCTTGACACCATCCAGGACAAAGCAGCCCGCTTGATTGGCACTACATCCACAAATATCCACTCCCTCCACCACCAATGCTCAGTAGCAGCAGTGTGTACTATCTACGAGATGCACTGCAGAAATTCACCAAAGATCCTCAGACAGCACCTTTCAAACCCATGACCACTTCCATCTAGAAACAAGGACAGCAGACATATGGGAGCACCACCACCTCCAAGTTGCCCTCCAAGTCACTCACCATCCTGACTTGGAAATATATCACGTTTCCTTCACAAAATGAACAGAAAAAGAAACTACATAAGATAAATAAAAACTCATCAGTAAAAATGTTTTAGATTTTGTCTGTAAGATTTTGTGTTAGGATTATTTTGTGTGTGTAGTAATTGTAATGAGGTCAACCAGGTGGACCTCATAGAATATGAGTTCCTTGATTGGGACTGTTAATCTGGTCCAATTAGGGAGCCCTGGCTGACAGATATAAACAGAGTGTCAGGCATTGCCTCGATCTGAGAGCTGGCTCTGAGGGAGCTGGATCAGTGTCAAGGACTCTCCACGTGTCAAAGAGGAGTGACACGATGCTGACCTCTGTGGACTTATTTCAGTGTGTATCTTGGTATTCATGTCTTTTCAAGTTTGTTAAGAAGACTTGGATGATTGTTTCAATACTAATACTATCTTGATCTTGTTTATCTTTTTGTAAAATAGGCCCAATTTAATATCCCTTGATTTGAGTTTCAATGACTTTGTCAATCTGCGGGACATTGTAACTTCTCTTTCTTTCCTGCCAAACCTGAAGAACTTTATTTTCCTTGGCAACCCATTGGCTCTTTATCCGTATTATCGGGGTTTTACAATAGACATTCTGCAGAACCTTGTTTCTCTGGATGATGTCTTGATATCCCCTCATGAAAGACATCATTTTAAGGGCATCGCTTTACAGCAAGGTAAGCATTTTAAGTAAATGAAACCTTGACTGTAATTTTCCAAAAATTGTTTGATTCGGGGAAGTATCAGAGGATTGGAAAACTGCTAGTGTGACACCCCTAGTCAAAAGGGAAAGGGGCAAAAAGTGGGTAACTGTAGGCCAATTAGCCTAATATCTATTGTTGGAATAGTATTGGAATCAATTATTAAGGCAGTAATAGCAGTACATTTGTGAAAATATAATTTAATCAAGCAGAGCCAGCATGGCTTTGTTAAAGAGAAATCATGTCTGACTGATTTATGAGAGGCTTTCAAAGAAGTCTCAACCAAAGTGGATTGAGGGGAACCAGATGTGTTGTATTGAGACTTCCAGAAAGCATCCAACAAGGTACCTCTCAAAAGGTTAAATCATAAGATAAGAACACACGATATTGGAGCTATTATACTGACATGAATAGGGAATTGGCTAAGTGGTAGGAAACGGTGAGCGGGGATAAGGGGTTCTTTTTCAGGTTGGTGACCCATGACCAATGGGTTTTCAGAAGGATCACTGTTGGGACCATAACTGTTTACAATATGTTAATGACTTGGAGGAAGGAAGTGAATGTGCTGTAGCCAAACACAAAAATAGATGAAAAGGCAGGTTGCGAAAGCGATACAAACAGGTATGCAAGAAGTTGGCAAATAGAGTATCAAGCGGGAAACTGTGAAGCTGTTCATTTGGAAGGGAGAATAGCCGAATGTAATATTATTTAAATGGAGGAAAACTGCAGAAATCTGCAACACAAAGAAGCATGGTGTACTTGTGCATGAAACACAGAAAGGTAGCACAGTGCAGCAGGTAATCAGGAAAGCTAACGGAACCTTTGTTTAAGGGATTGGAGTACAGAATTGGGAAGTCTTACTGCAACTGTACAATGTGCTAGTGAGACCACATCTGGAGTACTGTGAGCTGTTTTGGTCTCCTTATTTAAGGAAAGTTATCATTTCTATGGAGGCAGTTCAGACAACGTTCACTAGGATGATCCCTGGTATGGAGGCATTTTATTATGAGCAAAGGCTAAACAGGTTGGGACTCTACTCACTGGAGATTAGAAGAACGAGAGGTGATCTCATTGAAACATAGAGGATTCTTAAGGGGTAAATGCTGAGAGGATGCTCCCCTCATGGGAGAGTTTAACGCAGAGGGCATCATCTCAGAAAAAGGAATGCCAATTTAAGACTGAGATGAGGAGGAATTTATTCTCTCAGAAGGTTGTGAGTCTTTGGAACTCCTTGCCACAGAGAGCTGTGGGTGCAGACTCTTTGTGTGCATTTAAGACTGAGATAGATAGATTGTTGATCAGTCAGGAATCAAGGGTTATGGGGAAAGGACAGGAAAGTGGGCATGAGGAATGATCCTATTGAATGTCGGTGCAGGCTCAAGGAGCTGAATGGCCCACTCCTGTTTCTATTTCTTATGGTCATGAGGTCTAATGAGTCAGGCTGACAATGGCTGCAGTTCTAACTCTGTTTATCTGCCTCTCCCTGGAGTTGTTGGTTATCTTCACCTTCAGGGTGAAAGGCAGAGAGTTGCGTGCAAGAAAGGTGAAATGAGCACAGGGAATAGATGGGAAGCATTGAGAAGGATAACCACGAGGAATGGGTACAACGCAGCAATAGATTGTGGTTGAGTGTGAGCATTGAATTATTGGATTAGATTTGAGAAGGAGGCTCAAGAGAAAGAAACAAGCAAGATGGATGAGGAGACCATTCACCTTGCCAGACACAATGAGCTTCTATTGCCTGGATATTTGCAAGTCGCCACAGCAAGAATTCCTGAAGCCATTCAGATACCTGTCAGAGTTCCTTTAAATGGAGCCTTCCCTGATTGCTTGTGGTAGCTGGGAGATGGATGCTAGTGCCATGAGTCAATAAAGCCATTCTAACAGGAAGTAATTCGAGAAAATTCTACCCAAGGATGTGCACAGATGAGGAAGGGTATTACAATGAGGCCTAAAAGGCCTATTCAGCAATTCTCCACGGGGAGAGAAAGGAGAAACTCATTTACTGTATGTAACAAACATGATAAATCAGTATCAGTGCATGTATTCATTACAAGATTGGTTACATGAACTATCACAGATTAAATAAACTTCAAGGCTAAAAGAGAGACAGAAACTGCCAGAAAACATCCTGAGACATTAATTACTTTAATGCTGCTACTGACCATAGATACAAGTACTCAAAATGCTCAACAGTTCAATCTGAAGAAAATTATCAAACTGATATTTTCGGTAATAAAAACCAAAAGAAATGCAAATGCTGTAAATCAGGAACAAAAACAAAGTTGCTGGAAAAGCTCAGCAGATCTGGCAGCATCTGTGAACAAGAAAACAGAGTTAACGTTTCGGGTCCTGTTTTGAGGAAGGCTCACCGGACCCGAAACATTTATTCTGTTTTCTCCTTCACAGATACTGCCAGACCTGCTGAGCTTTTCCAGCAACTTTTTGTTCCTGTTTTTGTTCCTGATATTTTCAGTATAACATTTGGATCAAATTCAAGTGCAGTTGCATTTAAAAAAAAATCAATCTACTCTTATTCCTTCACGTGCTAGAATCTTCCACATTATTCTTTCAATTTTAGTTAAATTATTCAGTTTTACTTCTTTAATTCATTCAACAATTTGTTTTAATTTGTTGCTTATGTAATAATCCAAGGCATAGTGAATTCAGAACAAAAGCAGAAGTTGCTGGAAAAGCTCAGCAGATCTGGCAGCATCTGTGCAGAGAAATCAGAGCTAATCCTGTGAGGGTGAAGGGTAAGGTTGGCAGGAGTAGGGAACCCTGGATGACAATAGATATTGAAGCTTTGACCAGAAAAAAGAAGGAGGCATGGCTCAAGAGCAGACAGCTGGGATCAAGGGAATCCCTGGAGGTATATAGTGGATACAGGAGTTTAATGAAGAAGGAAGTTAGGAGGATGAAAAGGGGGCATGAGATAGCTTTGGCTCAGAGCTTAGGGTGGATCCAAAGAGATTCTTTAAGAATGTTAAAGGAAAAAGAATAACTAGAGAGAGAATAGGACCCCTCAAGGACCAAATTGGACATGTATGTGTGGAACCACAAGGGATGGGCAAGGTCCTCAATGAATACTTCACTTCTGCGTTTACCGTGGAGGAAGACATGAAGACTTGGGAATTTTGGGACGTTAGTGGTGATATCTTGAGGACAGTCCATATCACAGTACAGGAGGTGAAGGAAGTATTAGAATGTATGAAGGTGGATAAATCTCCTGGTCCTGACCAGATATATCCAAGAACTCTGCAAGATGCTAGAAAAGAAATTGCGGGGGCCCTGGCTGATATATTTGCATCATCGTTAGCCACAGGTGAAGGTTGTATCCTTATTCAAGAAGGGCTGCAAAGAAAAAGCTGGGAATTATAGACCAGTAAGCCTAACATCTGTGGTAGGTAAGTTACTTGAGAAGATACTGAGGGATAAGTTATACATGCATTTGGAAAGACAGGGCTTGATTAGGAGTAGTCAGCATGGCTTTGTGCGTGGGAGATCATGCCTCACAAATTTGTTAGAGTTCTTTGATGAAGTGACGAGGAAGTTTGATGAGGGTAGGGCAGTAGCTATAGTCTGTATGGATTTCAGTAAGGCCTTTGATAAGGTTCTACATGGTAGGCTGTGCTGGAAGGTTAGATCACATGGGATCCAGCAAGAGCTGGCAATTTGGATACACAATTGGCTTGATGGTAGGAAGCAGAGGGTAATACTGGAAGGATACCCGTCTGACTGGAGGCCTGTGACTAGTAGTCTGCCTCAGGGTTCGGTGCTGGGCCCATTGCTGCTTGTTATCTATATCAATAATTTGGATGAGAATGTATAAGGCATGATTAGTAAGTTTGCGGCTGACACTAAAATAGGTGGTATTGTGGACAGTGAGGAAGGTTATCAGAAATTGCAGCAGGATCTTGATCAGCCGGGGAAGTGGACTGAGAAATGGCAAATGGAGTTTAATATAGAAAAGTGTGAGGTGTTGCATTTTGGAAAGTCAAATCAAGGTAGGAGTTTCATGGTGAATGGTAGGGCCTTAAGGAGTGTGGTGGAACAGAGGGACCTTGGAGTTCAGGTGCACGGTTCTCCGAAAGTGGAGTCACAGGTAGACAGGGCAGTGAAGAAGGCTTTTGGCACACTGGCCTTCATCAGTCAGGGTATTAAGTATAGAAGTTGGGAAGTTATGATGCAGTTGTACATGATGTTGGTGAGGCCGCAGTTGGAGTATTGTGTTCAGTTTTGGTCACCTTGCTATAGGAAGGATTTTATTAAACTGGAAAGAGTGCAGAAGAAATCTACAAGGATGTTGCCAGGACTCAAGGGACTGAGTTATAGGGAGAGATTGGACAAATAGGACTTTTTTCTTTAGAGCGTAGGAGACTGAGGGGGGATCTTATAGAAGTGTACAAGGTCATGAGAGGCATGGATAGGGTGAATGCACTCAGTCTTTTTCCCAGGGTTGGGCATCTGTTTAAGGTAAGAGGGGAAGAATAGATGGGAACCTGAGGAGCAATTTTTTTTATACAGAGGGTGGTACGCATATGGAATGGGTTGCCAGTGGAAGTATTGAGGCGGGTACATTAACAACATTTAAAAGGTATTTGGACAAATACATGGATAGGAAATGTTTAGAAGGATATGGGCAAAGTGCAGGGAAATGGGGTTAATGTGGATGGACATTTTGGTCGGCCCTGACCAGTTTCGACTAAAGGGCCTGTCTCCGCGCTGTAGGACTCTTAACGTTTCGGGTCTGGTGACCCTTCCTCAGAACTGATTGTAGATAGGAAATTGTCAGTTTTTATGCGGAAGATAGCGAGGGAGATGGAGGTAAGGAGTAAATGATAGGTGGGGATAGAGGTCAAAGAGAGAGAACAGCTGGACAGACAGAGGAGTTGATAATATCTGGCTAGGAGGTTGAATAGCAGTTAATGAGGAGTGTTAGTGACTAACAATAGGTAACTAACTAATCTAACAAT